ACCTCCTCCCAACTAAGCCTTTAGATCAGACCATCGCCCCAGCTATGGATATAACCTCTTGGGAGACCTTGAGCCAAAGGTACCCACCTAAGTCACTCCTAGGCATCCATGATCCTGTAGGATAATAAATGTTTGTTGTGTTATGCTGCTAGGCTTTGACTAATATATCATGCGGCAACAGATAACGAATGCACAACGTTGGTCAAGTAATAAAAATTAACACTATTAGTAATGGGACAAATCAAACCCCTGTTCTACCTGATAAGATACAACAAGGATACAACAAGATTACAGCATCATATCTGTGATGTACCTAAAAAAAAAAAAAAAAAAAGCCTATCCTGGAGTTAGGAACATTAGGCAAACCCAGCATGAGGGATATTCTAAATAATCATTGGCCAAGAATCCTCAAACCTGCCACAAAATCAAGAAAAAAGGAAGGAATTGCTCCAGATTGAAGAAAACTAAAGAGATATGGCATTTGAATGCACCATGTGATTTTGACCTGGAAAATTGTGTTATATGAAATATTATTGAAATAACTGATAAAACATGAATGGGGCCTAAAGATTAGATTCCAGTAATGCATTAATGTTAACTTCCTGATTTTAATAATCACATTTCAGTTATATGTAGAGAATGCCTTTATTTGCAGAAAAGAGCTAACATTCTGTCTCCAGCTTCCTGGCAAAATTGGCTTATTGGGCCCAGACAGAGACCAATGAGACTCTTCCTACTGTACCACTTAAGCTGTTCTCTGTGGCCATGAGTGGCTCATACGGTAAGATAATGTATCTGCTTTGCAATTTCTTCATCTTTCTCCCTATGGCACTTCCATGAAAGCAAGGAAGTTTGGAAATTTATGTAAGTTTTTAAAATGTAATAATGGTGTAATAAATTAATGTTAGGTATAGGCATCATTTTCACTATTTCCTTCGTAGAGTTGAACTATTTAAGTACGGCCACATAGAAAATATCCTCTGTTTAAAAACCTTCAAAAAAACTCACCAAAAATTATATCTTAGCATGTTTCCCCAAACTTCATGTAAAAAACAGAGTTCATGGAAAAAAAAGGGGGAAGGTACATGTTAATTTTTTTAATAAGCTAGCACTGTAATTCTCTTCGGGTGTACCTTCTTTTATTTATACTTACACTATTTATTTTTTTTTCTAAGTCAGTGAATAAGAGATATCTAGTCCTCAGATTTTGTTTTAAACAAGGTCCCCCACCCTCAGGTTTATAATAAAATGAAATATGCATTTTAAGATCTTAACCAGCTCATCTGACATTGAAAGCTAAATTTGAGGCCCAAAGACATATTAGAAGCCACTAAAGAGTATAACTGGTTGCAATTAACTTTGTTCTAAAGAGGCTGGAAGTCATACCTACATTCTGAAATTAGAGTTCATTTTTCATATAAAAATGAAGATCAGATAGTAAACAACACTGCATAAAATTATTGTAGTGGTTAAATAATAAAAAATAAAATTAATAATAATAATAATAATAAAGAGGCTGGAAGTCATACCTACATTCTGAAATTAGAGTTCATTTTTCATATAAAAATGAAGATCAGATAGTAAACAACACTGCATAAAATTATTGTAGTGGTTAAATAATAAAAAATAAAATTAATAATAATAATAATAATAA